TCTCACGGTGTCTCTGGGACTGTCCTCCAGTGGCAGGAGAAGGACAAATGAACATAAATAAGATTAGATCAAGACCCCAGCTCCCCAGGGCACTGTTGCTCTCCTCTGAGAGTCTCCCGCTCCCCACAATCCTGGGGAGCCCCAAGGAGGAGGTGACTCTGTCTGTGCACAGGTGAGACCTCCCCAGGGACGAGAACCCTCCCTGTCCAGGTGTCTGTTACTTACTATTACTGGGGGGACCCGGGGAGGGGCGGGTGTGGCCAGACACAGACCCTGCAGGACAGGAGGGGGCAGCACCCAGGCCCACCACCAGGGGGCGCTCCGAGCTCACAGCCCTGGACTCAGCTCCTGGCTGTGGGGGGACATGGACAGGGACGGGACCTCCAGCCTGGACCTGCCATCCAAGGTCGACCTGTGCCCCCTCGCGTAGTGGGTGTCCATCCCTCTGTCGTCCTCGGGTCCAGCCTGGGCTCACTCCCCCAGTGCCATCTGTTGATAACGTCTGTGCCTTTGAAATGTGTCAGAAAAACTGATGGTTCTGCTCTGAGACCCAGTGGGATCAGATCAACATGTTGTCCACACCCCTGTCACCAGGTCGCAGGAGCCCCCAGGAACCCTGGTGGTGACTCCTCACTGAGGGTCCTGGATCCAGGCCCCCGGAATTAGTCTGACCCCGTGTGGGGACAGTCCCCTGGCAGCTGGCAAGGACGGGGTGTCTCAGACTCTGCATGTGTCTCTGTCCTGTTCAGGCCGGAGTCCTTGTCTGAAAGGCCCCTGGTCAGCTCTGGAGGTCCCGAGTCTTCTCCAATGACCTCTGGTGTCTGTGACGGGGGCACCTGCCACGAGAGCTCTCGGGTGGACCCTTCTCTGCAGAGTCTCCCGGGTTCCCAGGACTGTTGCTGCTCAGTGTCTTGTGTGTTTCTCGCTGAACCTCACGAACTGTGACGTGCTGGGAATGATGCTGTGGCATCGGGGTGCAGTGGGTCTGTGGACTGTGGGGTCAACTGCCACTCAGTGCTTCACTTTGAGAGCGGGAGACAGGAACGTGTCCAGGCTCTTGTCACCCGGATGTGATTTCTTCATTTTTCTCCTTTTCTCTCAAGGTTGTTTTTGCTCTTGAAGACCCCTTAGGTTCCACAACTGCTTCTTGTTTCCTTTCCAAGGTCACATGTGCTGTCCTGGGTGATGCATTAAATCTGTGAATGGCTTTGGGTGACGCGGGGCATTTCAACGATGTCACCTCCCCAGAGCCGGGACGCCTCAGCATGTCCTGTGGTCTTTCAGGTCCCCTTGCACAGTGTCACGTCTGCACTGCACCTCCGTCCCCCCTGCTCAGGTCACTCCCCGGGTTCCTTCCTGAGGGCGAGAGTGTCACTGGACCCGGACGCTCACTTCCCCTGACGTGCTGCTCCCAGGCAGGAACGCCGTGGGGTTCTGTGTGTCCACTCTGGACCCTGTCCCCTGGCTGTGCCCACTGGTGATTCCAGACGTTCTCTGTGTAGAATCTTCTGGATCTCTGAGCACACGAGCCTCTCAGCTGGGAGTGGGTGACCCTTGACTTCCTCTCCCAGGTCAGATCCTTTTGGTCTTTTCCTGCCCAGATGCTTCCCTGTGGACGTGCAAGGACGACGGTGAGTGACCGAGGTGACGTGGACGCCCGTCTTGTCCCTGGTCTTAGTGGGGACATTTCAGCTTTTCCACTTGAATGTGCGGTGGCTGAGGGTTTTCTCACCCTCAACTTTCAAAATATTCATCTAGTTCCTCTAATTCCAGTTTTGCAGAATAACCACCCTGGATTGTACCAACATCGTCTCCAGAACCTCCTGGTTGTCTCTGGGATCCTCTCTGCCCCCAGGCTTGACTCTGGCCCCGGGGAGTGCAGAGACCGGGGCTGCGGGAGGGGAGACGCATCATTCCTCACACAGGTCACGAGGTGCGTCGGGACAAGCTGCCTCTGGGAGGGGTTCGTCTTTCTCCACTTTCCCAAACAACAAACTCCTGTTTCCGGGGAAGGATGCTCAGCGACGGGTCCCTCAGCTTGTGTCCATCCTCCCGCGGACTCTCAGGGAAACGCCGACTGTGCCCAGAGACAGGCCCCGTGAGGCCCGGCCCTGTCCAAGCTGCAGAGAATCTGTGTTTCCTTCTCTCTCCGGAACTGCAAGACCCGCCTGGCTGGACGCCAAGGGAAGCAGGGACAGAACCTCAAGCAGTGGTGGCTCCGGGTCAGCACCTTCCAGACCCTGCCCTCTGACCCTCGCGGCGTCCTGACCGATCCCCTAAGAAAGGCCTCGGCAGGACTTGGCTGCTGAGATACACGTTTTTGTCCCAGTTAGAGAATCTGTCATCGAAATATACCACGAATGTCATTCCCCCGTGAACAGACAAAATATTTCATTTCTATAATTTCTCTGTCCTCTCTCCTTAGTTGCATCTGAGTGATCCCCCAGGAAGATGGGCCCAGGTGAGGGTCCCTCCCCCACACACCTGAGTCCCGTCCCCCCCCACGAGGGCTGAGGCCTCACAGCTGTCACCACGCAGATGCTCAGAGGCTGTCGGACGGAACTTCTCTGTGTCCGTCTATGACACTATTTCCTCAATGTCCACTCACGGTGCCCTGTGCACCAGGCCCTGCACACCTGAGCACCAGGACATGAGCTTCAGTCATGAGAGACATGGGGGACCCTAAATGTCATGGGCAATGAGAGACCCAACGTGGTTGGCAGGGAGGGGGCACAGGACACCTCGTGTTGACGGATGGGGACAGTCCATCCACCCAGTGGCCGAACTGCCTCAGGGCCCCAAACTGTGGACGCCACCCCCTCAGGAGAGCCAAACTGGGGAGAGGGACTGAACTGGGCATTAATCACACACCTCCCTGCTGTCACGTGTCCTGAAGCCGCTCCCTATGCACACCTGCCATAGGTGAGATGTTGACCACAAGATGTCCGTCCTGTCATGTTCAGGGACCAAACACTGTTCTCAGAACTGGCTGAGCAACCCCCACTCACCCCACAGCACACACAGGTCCCGTTCCCACAGAAGACCCCACAGAGCATGTGTGGGCACCAGCACCTGGGCCTGCGTCCCAGCAAGTAACAGGGGCTCAGGGTCACCAGCTCTGGCCCTAATAAGGGACCTGCTCATCGTGTGTCATGACCCCACGTCCCAGGACCCTCCCCGGCTCCTCTGCCCAGCCCCAGCCAGAGCTGCTATATAGCAGGACACATGCAAATAGGGCGTCCCCTGCTGCTGAAAACCAGCCCGGCCCGCCCTGCAGCCCGCACAGGAGCCCAGCCCGCACCCAGGGTCCAATCGGGTCAGCACGGACGCGGACACTCGCCATGGAGCGTGGGCTGAGCTGGCTGCTGCTCGTGGCGCTTCTAGGGGGTGATTCCTGGGGCAGGATCCCTGAGGAGGGGGGGCAGGAGGGGGAAGCAGCGGGCGAGAGCCATGTCCTGACGGGCTGTGTCTGTGTTTGCAGGTGTCCAGGCTGAGGAGAAGCTGGTGGAGTCTGGGGGAGACTTGGTGCCGCCTGGGGGGTCTCTCAGACTCTCCTGTGCAGCCTCCGGATTCACTTTCAGCAGTTATGGCATGCACTGGGTCCGCCAGGCTCCAGGGAAGGGGCTTGAGTGGGTTGCAGTAATTAGCTATGATGGTGGCAGCACAAGCTACGCAGACTCCGTGAAGGGCCGATTCACCATCTCCAGAGACAACGCCAAGAACTCGCTGTATCTGCAAATGAGCAGCCTGAGGCCCGAGGACACGGCCGTGTATTTCTGTGCGAGAGACACAGTGAGGGGAGCGGGTGTGAGCCCAGACACAAACCCTGCAGGATGGGGGACAGGGCTGGGGGTCCACTGGGGCGTGTCAGGACCCCAGGGGCCCAGGGACACCGGGAGGCCCAGGAGGCTCAGAGCTCAGAGCACAGCCCGGGAGCAGGTGCAGTTTGGGGGGCAGGGGCTTCCTGTCTGGGGCTCCTTCAGCTGGACCCCAGCTTCCCAGGGCACCATTGCTCTCCTCTGAGAGGCTCCCGCTCCCCACATTCCTGGGGAGCCCCAAGGAGGAGGTGACTCTGTCTGTGCACAGGTGAGACCTCCCCAGGGATGAACCTCACCTGTTCAGGTGTCTGTTACTTACTATTACTGGGGGACCCGGGGAGGGGGCGGGTGTGGCCCAGACACAGACCCTGCAGGACAGGAGGGGGCAGCACCCAGGCCCACCAGCAGGGGGCGCTCCGAGCTCACAGCCTGGACTCAGCTCATGGCTGTGGGGGGACATGGACAGGGACATAAACTCAGCCTTGACCTGCTCTCCAGGTCATCCCCTGCCCTCTCCTGGTGGGTGTCCATCCCTCTGTCCTCCTCGTGTCCAGTCCGGGGTCACCCCCCCAATGCCGACTGCTTAATAATGTCTCTGCCTTTGAATTGTGTCAGAACAACTGATTCACTGTTCTGTACCGAGACCCACTGGGATCAGATCACCCTAGTGTCCACACCCCCGTCATCAGGTCCCAGGGGGCCCCAGGAAGCCAGTGGGGACTCCTGGCCAGGGTTCCTGGATCCAGGCCCAGGAGCTGAGCCCTCACTGGGGACAGTCTCCTGGGCAGCTGGCAGGGACGGGGGTCTGAGGACTCTGCGTGTGTCTCTGTCCCGGCCGGACTCGACTCCTTGTCTGAAAGGCCCCTGGTCAGCACTGGGGGTCCCGGGTCTCCTGGCCTGACCTCTGGTGTCTGTGACGGGGGCACCCGCCACGAGGGCTCTCGGGTGGACCCTTCTCTGCAGAGTCTCCCGGGTTCCCGGGACTGTTGCTGCTCAGTGTCTTGTGTGTTTTGGATAAACTTTATTCAAACTTTGCTGCATTTCTGTGAGGTTCTGGTGTATTTCACGGGGACGCATGAGTCTGTGGATCTTCAGTTATGTGTCCAGGGACAATCTCCCTCCTCCGGCGTGAGTGTGGAATGTCCAGCTCTTTCTCCCCTGGGTGAGGCCTTTAGTGTCTTCTTCCTTCTCTAGCTTGGATTGTCTCCTCGCAGCCTTTGTGGATCTGTTCCCTGTGAAAGGTGATTGTGTTCTCCGATGGGCAGTCCACGCACAGACACGCCGCCATGGCCATTGCAGTAAAACGAATCTTCCCCCGCATGAGCCCACGAGCGCGTCCATGTCTCTCTGTCCTGTGCGTGTCTGTGCGTGACGGGCTGACGTGGTCACGGCACTGTCCTCCCCGCCTGGCCCCGCTGGCTCCCGGGAATCTCCTCCTCGGGCGAGACCGTGACCGGAGCTGGACCCTCCCCTCCCACTCACGCGCGCCCCGGTGTGGCGCCTCTGGGGCTGTGCTCACCCTGCGACCCGCCCCCACGGGGCCCTTCAGGATCTGACCGTCACCTCTCGGGGAGCTTTTGCTCTCCCTGCGTGGAGGATCGTGTCCGCTGGACGCCGACAGACCCGGGTCTTCAGCCCCAGTTTCCTGAAGGGCAGGGGAGAGAGGACGTCCCTGTCTCGCTCCCGACCTCCCAGGAAGGGCCTCCGCGTGTCGCCCTGAGCATCCCACAGGCGGTGGCTGGTCACGGATGCTCTCACCATGTGAAGGTCTGTTCCTCCCCCGAGGGCGTCCAGGGCCTGCACCACACATGGGGGCTGGACTGTGTCGAGCGCTTTCCAGCGTCTGTTGATGTGATCCTGGGGTTCCGTGTTCCTCTTTGTTGCCGTGTTGGATACACTGAGGCTCTCTAGGATGTGGAACCAGCCCCGTGCCCAGGAGGAGTCCCCGTGATCCTGGGGACGGTCCCTGGGACGCAGGTCGGGTCCTGCTGGCGAGGACGTTGGGAGGATGTTCCCCTCAGTGATCACGAGGGCTCTGGGCCTGTGATGTTCTTTTTTGTGTTGTCTGTGTCCAGTGTCGACCCCCGTGGCCTTTTCTTTCCGAGTAGATTCGGGGGTGGGGCGTCCGGGACGGAGCTGAGTGACACCCATGACCGTGACGTCCGTGTCTTATTCCTGAGCTTCGCGTGACTGTCTCAGCTTTTCCCTCTTGCTGTGACGGGGGCTGTGGGGTGGCGGGTGCGGAGCTCACTCCACCTCTGCACGTCATTCATTCCCACTTTGGAGGAAAATGCTCTGATCTTCGTGACCATCACCGAGACTTTCTGGTTGTCTCTGCGCCTCGTCTCTGCCCTCGCGCTTGAACCTGCCCCGTGAGGGTCTGGGGAACTGGAATCAAGAGGACGGTGGAGACGCGGCTTCCGTGTCAGGACACACGGATGGTGTCACCAGGTCCCGTTCCTCCGGGGACGAGGTTTCTCTCTCCACGACGCAACCCAGACTCGCTCTCCTGCTGGAGAATGACACATTGGGAAGCACAAACTGAGGAGAAGACAGGCCTCTGAGGAGAAAAATTTGAGGAGAAATACTGCAGTAATTCTTGTTGAGGAGAAATATCTGAGGAGAAATGACATGTTGGGAAGCACATTCTGAGGAGAAGACAGGCCTCTGAGGAGAATAAAGTGAGGAGAAATACTGCAGTAAGGAGTGTTGAGAAGGAATATCTGAGGAGAAATGATCCCCTGGGAAGCAGATTCTGAGGACAAGCAGGCCTCTGAGGAGAAAAATCTGAGGAGAAATACTGTAGTAAGCAGTGTTGAGGAGAAGTGTCTAGGAGTAATGACATGTTGTGAAGCAAATACTGAGAAGACAGACCTCTGAGGAGAAATACTGCAATAAGGAGTGTTGAGGAGGAATATCTGAGGAGAAATGACACATTGGGAACCACATTCTGAGGAGAAGACAGACCTCTGAGGAGAAAATCTGAGGAGAAATACTGTAGCAAGGAGTGCTGAGGAGATATATCTGAGGAGAAATGACCCCCTGCGAAGAGATTCTGAGGAGAAGACAGGCCTCTGAGGAGAAAATCTGAGGAGAAATACTGTAGTAATTCTTGTAGAGGAGGAATATCTGAGGAGAAATGACACTTTGGGAAGCACATTCTGAGGAGAAGACAGGCCTCTGAGGAGAAAATCTGAGGAGAAATACAGCAGTAAGGAGTGTTGAGGAGAAATATCTGAGGAGAAATGACCCCCTGGGAAGAGATTCTGAGGAGAAGACAGGCCTCTGAGGAGAAAAAAGGGAGGAGAAATACTGTAATAATTCTTGTAGAGGAGGAATATCTGAGGAGAAATGACACGTTGGGAAGCATATTCTGAAGAGAAGACAGGCCTCTGAGGAGAAAATCTGAGGAGAAATACTGCAGTAAGGACTGTTGAGGAGAAATATCTGAGGAGAAATGACCCCCTGGGAAGAGATTCTGAGGAGAAGACAGGCCTCTGAGGAGAAAATCTGAGGAGAAATACTGCAGGAAGGACTGCTGAGGAGGAATATCTGAGGAGAAATGACATGTTGGGAAGCAGATTCTGAGGAGAAGACAGGCCTCTGAGGAGAAATACTGCAGTAAGGACTGTTGAGGAGTTATATCTGAGGAGCAATGACTGGTTGGTAAGCACAAAATGAGGAGAAGACAGGCCTCTGAGGAGAAAAAAGGGAGGAGAAATACTGCAGTAAGGACTGCTGAGGAGGAATATCTGAGGAGAAATGACCCCCTGGGAAGTAGATTCTGTGGAAAAGACAGGCCTCTGAGGAGAAAGTCTGAGGAGAAATACTGTAGTAAAGAGTGTTGAGGAGAAATATCTGAGGAGAAATGCCACCCTGGGAAGCAGATTCTGTGGAAAAGACAGGCCTCTGAGGAGAAAATCTGAGGAGAAATACTGCAGTAAGGACTGTTGAGAAATATCTGAGATGAAATGACTCGTTGGGAAGCAGATTCTGAGAAGACAGGTCTCTGAGGAGAAAATCTGAGGAGAAATATTGTAGTAAGGACAGTTGAGGAGAAATATCTGAGGAGAAATGACACCCTGGGAAGCAGATTCTGAGGAGAGGACAGGCCTAGTGGAGAGAAATCTGAGGAGAAATACTGCAGTAAGGATTATTGAGGAGAAGTGTCTAAGGAGTAATGACACGTTGTGAAGCAAATACTGAGAAGACAGACCTCTGAGGAGATAAAACTGAGGAGAAATACTCTAGTTATGAGTTAAGAGGAGATATCTGACGATAAATGACCCTTTGGGAAGCAGATTCTGAGGAGAAGACAGGCCTCTGAGGAGAAAATCTGAGGAGAAATACTGCAGTAAGTGTTAGGGGGAAAAGGCGGTCCCAAAGCAAATTCCATACAGGCTTTGTGGACTCCACCCCCACCCCAGGTCAAAGCCAAAGACACTGGGAACTCCAAATCCCATCATCACCACCCAAGGAAGGTGGCTGGGACCTGAGGGTGGGGTTAAGCAGCCAGGTGGATACAAAAGGCAGACACGTGGGCTTTGGGGGGCTCTCTCTCCATTTTGGGCTCTGGGCCAGCGCGGAGCCTCCGGCCAGCTCTGGGAGTGACTTTGGGTTTCCAGGTCGTCGGATCGGGTAGGACGCATTAAGACTTTATTTCCCTATTTTCCCTGAGTTGTACATTTTCCTTATTTCCTTTCCTCTTGGAAATAAACCTTTTATTAACCCTTTTGTGTGTGTCTGTAGTAGAGTATTCATAAGTCCCTTTAAAGCGCGCGGGTGAGGACCCACAGCCAGGAACCCGTTTAATATCGGGGTTGCTCTATAACATAAGGACTGTTGAGAAATATCTGAGGTGAAATGACTCGTTGGGAAGCAGGTTCTGAGAAGACACGCCTCTGAAGAGAAAATCTGAGGGCAAATACTGTAGTAAGGAGTGTTGAGGAGAAATATTTGAGAAGTGACACCCTTGGAAGCAGATTCTGGCGAGAAGACAGGCCTCTGTGGAGAAATATCTGACGAGAAATACTGCAGTAAGGAGCTTTGCGGGCTTTTCCCGCAGTGCGGGCTTTTCCGATCAGGGATGCGGGTTGTCCAGGGCTTGTGCTGGTTGTGAAGCACATACTGAGAAGACAGGGAGTAGAGGGTGTAGGGGGTTTCTGGCGGCCCCTACCCACGGTTCTGAAATTGTGACTTTTGCGCCTTCACAGTGGGTGGGTGGGGCCTGGCTCACCTGGGGGCTGAGCCTGGGGTTTCTCAGGTCAGCTGGGGCAGGCTTGGGCTTTTACCCATCAGGGATGCGGTTGTCCAGGGCTTGCGGGCATTGAGGTGACAGCGGGGGGAGGGGGTGCCTATTTGCATTTCCTGGCTGTGGGCGCGGTCACTGTCTGCCTGTGGCTAGATTGGGGTAGCCTCCCTGACAAGTGACCTCGCCCCTCCGCCCAGGCTGCTTCTGGGGTTGTTAGTGCGAGCGGAGGGTGCAGGTGACCCTCTAGCCCCCGGCGAGTGTGGCCAGGGCCAGGGCGTGCTCAGAGGGTTTGGGGAGTCCTGGGGATGCAGCAAGTGGATATCCGGGGTTCTGGGCGGGGTGGGGCCTTGAGCGGTGCTGCCTCTGCTGAGGGCCGGCGGGTGGAGAGGCCCTGGCCAGGGGCGGCACCGGAACGGGGCGGCAGCTGCTGCCTGGGCAGGGGGAGCTGGGGTCAGGAGCCCCCGCACCGTCCTGGGGCAGGAGGTCGCTGCCCTGAGCGAGGTCTCGCCATCGTGATCCCCATGGCGGCGCCATCTCTCCTACAGCTCAGATCGTGCTCAGCTTCCCCGTGAGAACTGGGGACCATTTCAGGTCATATTCATGGGCTTCCTGGGGGGTGGGGGGAGGGTACAGATGGAGATCCCAGCTCTGGCCAGCCCCTGCAGGACGGGTCCACCCCCGGGTCAGGAGCAGCCCTCAGGGCGCAGCAGACCTCCCCCTCTCCCCGCTGCCCCCCTCAGCCCTGGATTTCAATCCATCCACCAGTTCTGCTCCCCACTCTGTCTCTGGTGACGCCTCTCACCCCCGCACCTCTGGCCTGTACCCCGGTTCTTCTATAAATAAATAAACCTTTAAAAATAAAAATAGCATTTTTCTAATTATTCCCACACAGCAGGCTGACTTGCTGCACAGGCCAGAGACAATTCCTTGAGATCTAGAACAACGGATGAGGGGAGGCCTCGGCAGTGCCTGCAGCAGTGCTCAGGTGAGACCCCTTTAGAGCATTTATTGATTTATATTGTCTTCGGGTCTTCCCTGTCCTTAAAGACCATCAATTTTTTTTTTTTTATTTTCTCGCATCGTTGCTCATTTTTTTAGTTATTGGTGTCTCCCCTCAGGGGTGGTCCCCATGGTGCTCCCACCAAAATAGCCCCCGTGCCCCATCACCATAATCCCTTGGGCTCTTCCCTCCCCTCTGTTCACCCCCCTCCCTCCCCCTCCCCGCTGGGAGCCTCAGGTCTTGGGCAGCCTGCTAGGGTTGTCTTGTTCTCTCCCTTTTGTTCCGTTTCTCTATTTCTCGCATGTCAGTGAAACCACCTGATGTTGATCTTTCTCCTGCCTTATTGTGGTAGCATCATCCCTGGCAGCTCCATCTCTATCGCCACCAGTGGCATGAGTGTGTCTTTTCTGATTGCTGAGCAGTATTCCGTGGTGTAACTACCACAGCGTGTTGATCCATCATCTGTTTCCTGGCATGAGTTGTTTCCACGTCCCGGCTGTTATAACTAGGGCTGCACTGAACACAGCAGTTCGGGTTTCCTGGGTTTTTTTGTCCCTTGGGTGGATTCCTAGGAGTGGAACGCCGGATCCTGTGTAGACCCATTTTCAGTGATCTGAGGACCCTCCACACAGCTGCCCGTAGTGGCTGGA